GCCGGAACAGAAAATGGGTGCAGGGGATCCGCAGCACCAAAAAGAAATTTAAAGTTAGGCACTATTTATAGCACACCTAAGCAATAATCCTTGTCGCTTAAATAAATTTTCAGTGTGATCATCCTTCTGAGTGACTAATATTAGGCAGCCAAGAAAATAAATCAAGTTCTTGAGTTTTCAAGCTTTTGTTCATCTACAATTTCTGTATATCAACCTAGATCTGATGATTCTAAATGTCAACTCTTCCAAATCAACCACCACTCAAGAGACATTATCAGTAGAAAGTCCCACCATTGAAACCCTTTCAAGCCCCCACGAGCCATGTTATGAACCAATGTATGTACACAAAAAAATTACAGCAGCTGATGTTGATTTGACGATTGATTTGGAGAAAGAGAGGCAAATATACGGTGACAAAGAATTTCGTGCCTCTGATGACCTAGAAGTTGATAGTCAATCCATTTCCACACAACTCCAATGAGTCCTCATACCCATCAATCCCAAATAATGGAATGGCTCAATCAATGGACCCTGAATTGTATAGGGCGACAATAATTGGGGACATTGATCGTTTCATTCGAGCATTGGAAGATAGAGAAAATTGCCTTGTGACCCAAGTAAGCCCCCAAGGAAACACAGTTCTTCACACTGCTGTGAACTTAGGCCATGATCGATTGATGCAGCTGGTGATCTGTTTTGTTGGTTTGGTCTGTCCCTTTCGTTGGTTCCTCACCAACTTGAGGGTGCTAGCAAATGATAGGATGGGCTATTTGGTGCCAACCTCGTTGGGATGACTTAGCTCATTGTGATGCTCCTGCACTCCCCCTCTTTTTCTCTTTATTGGTGCAATTTGTTTTGTATCTTGTACTACATTTTTACATCAATGAAATCTCTTTATTTGCCGTTCACAAAAAAAAAAAAGAACTCTAAAGGCAACCTTTCGTTCCATTTAGCTGCGAGTGCTGGACATCTATCCACAATCAAGTCGTTGGCTTCTTCTCTAGGACAGAATGAATTCGTTGTTGAAGGAACAAAATAAAGATATGAATACCGCGATGCACGTTGCATTGAAAAAGCATCACAAAGAAGTGGCTTTTTTCTTGATCGAGGCTGAACTTGAAGTGTCACTTTATCTAAATAGTGAAGGGAAGTCACCCTTGTATATGGCTGCAGAAGCTGAGTGGGCAGATCTTGTTAAGCTTATGATGGGAAATAAACTGGTTGCGATTGGAAGTAACTATGTAAATGATAGGATGAATGGCAAGTCACTTGTGCATGCTGCCATTACCGGAAAGAGTAGAGGTATTTTTTTTTATTTTTGGTTGAGTTGCCGGTTTTATGTTACAGACAAATTTATCCCCTATTGTAGACAAGAGCGACCTTATGTCCAGTCCTTTATTAGGATTTGACGATCCTGTTTGAGCTAGTGAGCCCATCATAGGTCTTACTTAAATGATTTAATCTATTAATTTTTTAAGTTTCTATGTATATAGTCCATAGATTATTTATTAAAACAATCAGATTCATTTTATAACCACTTAATTTAATCATAGTCTTCTAAGTAGACTGGTGACAAGTCACTCCTTTAGATAAATGGAATTATTAAGGTGTCGTTTGGTAACACTTACGTTTTCAGTTTTGTATTTATATTTATAAAAATTTAAAAAATTCAAATAAAAACTTGTTTGGTAAAATTTTTGATTTATAAATCAGTGGTCTCAGTTTATAAATTTGGCCAAAAAATGAAAACACAAAAAATGTGTTTCCATTTTGAGTTTTCAGTTTTTTTTTTTTTTATTACCCAACACTAGCCACCACCCGCCACCATTTTTCACCACCATCTTCCGCCACCACCACTCACCCCCCACCACCATCTGCCACCATGTCACCACCAGCCACCCACCGCCACCAGCTACCTGCCACCCACTACCACCACCACCCACTTGCCACCCACCCCCACCTGCCACCACTACCCACCACCACCCACCTTTGTGGTGGGGTGATGGCGGCAGTGATGATGTTAGTGGCTATGGTGATGGTAGTGTGACAGTGAAAGTGAGAATAGTGGTGATGGTGTTGTGAAATTAGTAAAAATTTAATTGAAAAAACATTTTTTGTTTTTTAAAAGTAACAAACAACAAAATTCGTGGGGGACTAAAGGAAGAAGATGCAGGATGGATTGGGTGTGGTAATGCATAGATATCTTAAAATGAGTGGTTCAGATTTGTTAAAGGTATAATTAGATTTTGGATAAATTAAAATGAATGGTTCAAATTTGTTAAGAGAAAGATGATTTAATATCTAAAATGTCCGTGGCTAAGAGATCAACAAACAATTCTTTGTTTATGCTCTGATGCAATTTAATATGGGTCTTATAACACTTTCTTCAAACAGGTTCTTTCACATTTTATTTCTTCATACATGCTCTTATAACATTGTAATCAGGTTCTTATAACATGTAGGGGAGAGAGTGAGAAAGAGAGAGATGGTTGTGATTTTTTTTTAATCTTCCACGTTTTTCCACATTTTTTTTTCAATTACTAAAACTTATTTGATTGTCTCAAAATTATATATTTGATTATTATAAAACAAACTTTTTAATTAATTAATTAATATGTATTTGATTTTGTTGTTGAACCAAATAAAATAAAATAAGATTGAATGTATATTTAGCTTTTGTTGTGACCTTAAAAAAATAAAAAATAAATACAAAAAAAAGGTTGTTAACATTAAATATATTAAAAAAGAAAGAAAAAAGATTGAAGGTATATTTAGCTAAAACCTTTATAAAAAAAAAAAGAAAAGAAGGTTGTTAACATTAAATATATTAAAAAAGAAAGAAAAAAGATTGAAGGTATATTTAACTTTTGTTGTGAACCTTAAAAAAAAAAAAAAAAAAAAAAAAAAATTCTTAACATTAAATACATTAAAAAAGAAAAAAAAAGATTGAAGGTATATTTAGCTTTTGTTGTGAACATTTAAAAAAAAAAAGGTTGTTAACATTAAATATAAAAAATAAAAATGGGGATTAAAGTGAGTTGGGGAAAATCCATACCCATTAAGAAATGGGGAGGGTGGTACCCATGGGGAATGGGAAATGAGGAATGGGAAAAATTTATTATAGGAGAATGGAGATGGGGAATTAATATCCACCCCATTGCCCCCCATTGCCGTCCCTATCAAAATGGCTTCTTTCCCATTCACATGGCGGCTAGCAGGGGCCATGTTGAGATCATTCAAGAGTTTCTCCAACGTTGTCCAGATTCAAGCAAATTGCTCAACAAACAAGGTCAAAATATCGTTCATGTGGCAGCAAAGAATGGGAAAGACAATGTTATTATGTGCTCAAAACGCCTGAGCTTGAAAAGCTAATTAATGAAAGAGATGAGAAAGGAAATACGCCATTACTTTTGGCTGCAAACAATGCATTGGCGACCTAAGATTGTGAACTCGCTTACGTGGGACAAGAGAGTTCAGCTAGAGTTAGTGAATGATGCAGGCTTAACCGCTTTAGATGCTGCTGAGAAGTACATTGGAACTACACCACCATTCCGAAAGTTATGTCTTAAATTTATTTATTTATTTATTTATTTTCCTTTTAAAGTTTCATAAATAAATACCTTCTAATGGATATCAGTTTATATATGTTATGTATTGTTGAATGAGTTGTGTCTCGTACTTGAGAAATTTTAATGACTTTTCCTCTTTCCTTTTTTCAACAATGTTATATACTCCCAAAAAAACGTAACCCCCACAATCCTTACTTACCTATAATTGGTCCGCGAAGGAAAGAAAAAAAATAAAAAAAAACAAAAAAACCAAAAACATATGATTGGTCCACATCATTCCAAGGGTTATGGGAGTCCCCAACTTTGGGGATCCAAAGCATTTTTGTTCTTTTTTTATGATTGAGAACTCAGTCTAGATAGAATATTTTAACCTAACTAGGTGCGTAAACTTGGGGTTTAAAAGCCAATCCCTAAGCCAACCTCCTAAGCTTATGAGTAGGACAAATGGGTCAGGAGTCAAACTTTAGTCCAATTAATAATAACCGTTGAAAATTGAACAGAAATCAAGTATAAAATAATTCATTCAATAGAAAATGAACCATTCAGATTGGCCGTGAACCCCTCAATCACTTTGAAGAGAGCGAATGAACTATTTAGCTTGTTGATTTCATTTTAATTTCTAAAAATTAGAAATTAGACTAAGTTGGCACAACATGTAAAAATTAAAAAATAAAATTGGTACAATTAGAATTATAACAACTAAATTGACCCAACAGCCAAGCTACACATTTGCATCTCACAAACACTTGGATTGAAATTTAAAACTGTTTTGTACCCTGCAACGGTTAACTTGGATGGCCTTGAAATCAGCTGGTGCACCAAGATCCAAGCATCAAAAGCCAAACCGACACAGTTCAAGGTGTTAAAATCCACCTACTCTCCACCTACTTCACCCACTTAAACCTACTCCACTAAACCTAACCCACTACACCACTACCACCTCACCTTCACCTACTCCTTACCTACTACACACTCACCCTCTTCTATATATAGGAATCATGAATCATTGTAATAGATATCAATAACACAAATCAATCAATAATATACATCAATTTATTTTACATGGTATCAGAGCTATAAGATTTAGGCCTATATTTCTTTCTCACCGGCGGGCAGTTGGCCGGCAACCTTGCCTTCACTGCCCGCTGGAGTTTTCTACACATACCTTCACTCCGCTGCATCTTCAACTCTCTCTCTCTGTATTGAAATTCAGGAAGAAAGACAGACACACACACATGGGCTAGTCTCTCAGTCCTCTCTTGGTGTTCGAACTCGCCTCACACCTCGCTTCTTTGATTGCCCATTTCAATGCAGACTCGGATTGGTTCCCAATTTTTGGGCTTTTGTTCACTTTGATATATGCTGGGTTCTATGTGTGTTTGGATCGGAATGGTGGTTCTTTGGCTGCTATTCTGTGTTTGGCTTGTTGGGTCTCTGCTAGTCTTCTTACACATCCAGCTTTTCTGCCTTCACAACAGGATTGGCTTTTGCTATAGCATCCCGAGCAGCAGTCCGATAATCAAATGGACACTCATGTTTATCAGAGTAGCGATGAACTGCGCAGAAAAGATTTCCACACCTGCAACTGAAACCTGTTAAACCCACACGCTTGCGGCAAGTGTTGCACCTGTTTGGACCCTCTTTTACTTTCACCTCTGAACTCTGGCTTGAGGATGAATCACACAATGCTTGTGTAGAAAGAACCTTCGCTTCCACTGGTCCAGCTTGCACATCTACAGCAGCACCAACTACAGGTTCCTTCCCATTGTTGCCTGAGCCACCATTCACAATATTGTCGAAGGAGGTAGCTGCAAGTTTGGCCTGCTCCTGCTTCAAGATCATGTCCTTGTGGCACTTGGAACACATGTTCATGGTGGCTGCACTGCCAAAGAAGCCACAGTTGTTGATGCAAAGGATGGGTCCTTCTGGAGCTTGGCATCCTGTCTCATCGGAAGACTCCATTTATTCAAATGTCCTGTTTTCAAAACGAGAGTTTTTGGCCGATCTTGACTCGCAAAAAATCGAACCAGGTTGTTCCTTAATCGAGGTTTAATAGTGCGATGATCGGCGAAATCGAGGGGTATATCACAGACACACGGCAGCAACCTATTCATCATTGCACACACACACAGGTAGCAGCACACACAGAGTTTACAAAGAGAGAGCCCACTCAACTTTCTTTTTCTTTTTCTTTTATTATTTTACTCCATCTTTTGCAAAAGCAAACGAAACACAAATTGATTTACACATGTATCTCCACTCTCTTTTTTTCACTTTCCAATCCCCCGAGGCACATGCTTTCGCCATTAATCTATTTTTATTATTATTATTAAAAAAAAAAAAAAAACAAATACAAAAACAACTATCAAACCCATTGCAGGTTTTTACAAAACCGTGGGCCACAAAACTTTTTTTTTTCTCACCGTGTGATCAAAATAGAGTAAAAAAACCACAATCAATTAAAAAAAAAAATCATCGTTGAGTGTAAAAAAATACAATCATCGTGTTTCTATGTTATTATGTCAAACAGATGGTTTATGACACCCCCATACAGTGTCCTCTACAACGTTATGACACCACCATCCAGTGTCTTCACCAATGGTCTGACACGACCATACAGTGTCTCCTATCCTGCATATGGCGGACCTCCAAATCGGAACATCACGGTGGCCTTCCGCTTCAGCTCCTTATTTTCCGCCTTTAGCACACTTATCTCTGCTCGAGCATCCTTATACATGCGTTGGAGCAGAGCCAGTTGGGCGTTTAACTGCTGCACCTCGTTTGTCCTACTCTGCAGCCGGTTCGACAAATTTGTAACCGCAGTCATGGTTTCCGCACATGACTTCAAAGTATACTGATTGGCCTCCACATCCGACTGCACTGCCATTCTTTGCTCCACAGACCGCACCGGAAAGTTCAACGGAGCAAACTCAGGGGCGCTTGGTTGAGGTTCCAGTGCCACCGCATCAGTTCTCTCTCTTGTTGACTCGTTGAGGTCGGGAAAGAGGGTGAGCAGCCCGCGGGAAAACGAAGCCATTTTCTGGGCTACAAAGTGTTCCAAAGTTTCTCTCTCCGAAGCGGCAGAGTTTTTCAGAGAAGGGTTGGTTTCAGAGGTTTCAGACTAGTATGCACAGCCTCCACCTCGTCTTGGTTAAATAGCCAAGGCAGACACGCGTATCGCGCGCCACTTGACGCCAAACGACAAACGGGCGCGCCAGCCAAGGCACTCACGTGCCTCGCCATCATATCTGGCACACCTTTTTATGGATTGGGCACGCCTTTTGATGGCACGCCTTTTGAAAGATTGGGCACACCTTTTGAGGGTGCGACTTTTTAAGGGTCCGACAAGACTCTGTAAACTGTCCCGACATTGATTCCGGTTAGCACCTTCAAGGGTCCGACAAGACTCTATAAACTGTCCCGACATTGATTCCGATTAGCTTTTTTATGGGTCCGACAAGACTCTGTAAACTGTCCCGACATTGATTCCGGTTAGTTTCTACAAGGGTCCAGCAAGACTCCGTAAACTGTCACAACAACTGTCACAACAGTGTCTGTTACAACGGTCCGACATGACCCCGTAAACTGTCTTCTACATCGGTCCGACATGACCCCATAAACTGTCTTCTACATTAGTCTGACACGACCACACAGTGTCTGCTACAACGGTCCGACATGACCCCATAAACTGTCTTCTACATCGGTCTGACACCGCCATCCAGTGTCCTCTACACCGTTATGACACCACCATACAGTGTCCTCTACATGGTTATGACACCCCCATACAGTGTCCTCTACAACGTTATGACACCACCATCCAGTGTCTTCACCAATGGTCTGACACGACCATACAGTGTCTCTTATCCTCTTTTATTTTTATGTATTTTCTTGTTTTGTTACTCTCTCCAAACTCAAGTTGGTTAGTTCCTATCCCCCTTGAGTTTGCGAGGGGCTGTTAAAATCCACCTACTCTCCACCTACTTCATCCACTTAAACCTACTCCACTAAACCTAACCCACTACACCACTACCACCTCACCTACTCCACTAAACCTAACCCACTACACCACTACCACCTCCACTTCACCTACTCCTTACCTACTACACACTCACCCTCTTCTATATATAGGAATCATGAATCATTGTAATAGATATCAATAACACAAATCAATCAATAATATACATCAATTTATTTTACACAAGGAAATGGAAGCCCCCAAACATGGAAAACTATAAGGAAAGAATCAACACTCTCATGCTAGTACTAACAATAATTGCCACTGTGACCTTCACAGCCGGTTTCACAGTCCCTGGCGGCTACAAAAGCTCCGCCCCAGACGAAGGCATGGCAACTCTGCTAAACAGCAACTACTTCAAAGCATTTCTGATCAGTGACACCATAGCCATGTACAGCTCTGTCATAGCCATAGTAACTCTCATTTGGGCACACTTGGGTGACCTCAATTTAGTCCTCTTTGCACTTAGGCTTGCACTGCCACTATTGGGGTTATCTCTGGCCATGATGCCTTTGGCATTCATGGCTGGTGTGTGCCTAGTTGTGAGCAACCTTGCTTGGCTTGATGATGTTATTCAAATCATGGGTATGATTTTTCTTTCCACTATCATGGCACTCTTTGTTCCTCTTTATTTCCCAGATACTTCTCGCTCGCGGACCTTATGATTCATCTCTTACTATGTTCTGAGTTGGGTGATGCTTGCTTCTGGAAGTTATGGCAACAACGATGACCAAGAAGAGTAGCTGGGGGATTTTGCTGATGTGCTCTGCACATTTTAGTTGATTTTTGTGTTATTTGAAGAGAACTCTTGTAGCTTTGGATTAGTATCATGCCATATAATTTTTTTTTTCTTTATATTAATATATACATATATCAGCAATATATTGCCATTCAGAACTTCATACTGTACAGTAAAATAACACATAGTTGATCAGCTCTATGGATGTGCTATAAATGCATACATTGTTGTCTTCTCATGTGCTAAATTAACCGCTTTTTTTTTAGCTTGGGTGTGGAAAATGGAAGAATTTGGGTGGATATATATATATATATATATATGGGTTGCAGGTTGAGTAAAGTTGGCTCAAACTCGCCAACTAACTAACGAGATATCAACAATACTAGAAACCCAGATTATTTATCCCAGAAAAATAGACAAAGTACATTTAATGGTTGCAATCAAGGTTTTGAACAATGTTGCGGTCCCGTAATGGTAGCAGTGATACCGTTGCGATTGCGGGGTGTAAAGGCCGCAGCATAATGGTTGAGGTAATCAGAACTGTGAATTCTTTTATTTTTCGCATAATTTGAAAAAAAAAACTTACCAATACGCATATTTTGTTTTTCAAAATCATATTTATTGGGTTTTAAAATAAATTTTGATCAATTTTTGTTAACTTTTAAGTATAATCCAATATATTTCATATTTTTAAATCACTACAAACTGAGTTTTTTATATTTTATTTTAATAATTAATGATTTTATATGTCAAAAATCCATATTACAAGTTTTGGCAAAATTTTCTTTTATTGGACTTAGATGTATGAAATTATTTTTTTTAATTATTATACTTGTGGAAGCATATGCAAATTTTAACTTGAATAGTTTTAAAAAATAAATTATACATGCTAATGTACTCATATAAAAATTAAAAAATAAATTACAAAGAAAAAAAATTTATACATGGTTTTTTTTCCTTTAAGTTTGGATCACTTGAATATTCGTTCTCTTTTTGGATAATCTATAAATAAAAATAAAATAAACTAATCAACAAAAATTGGCATATATAAAATAGTTAAATTATAAAATATGTATTAATATATAATTATATGTGTTATGTTTTCTAGATATTTTATAAAAAATCAATCACTAACTATTATATATGAGATAAATGATAACAAAAGTAAGAGAATAAATAAGAACCTAAATATATATATATATTTTTTAAATCAAGCCAAATAAATAATGATTACACTTATTATTATTATTTCAAACAAAGATTACATGGTTGAGTGAAGTTCTCCCTAGAAGATGAATGTGCAACATTTTCAACAAATCAATAATAGGTTCTTCATCTTCTCTCTTTTCTCTCTCTCTCTCTCTCTCTCTCTCTCTTGAAAGAAGTTGTTTAGAACCATTACGTAACGGTACGTAATGGGCCATTATGGTTGTTACAGCATCATTACGCCAGCTGCTACGACCGACACACAGACCTATGAATCTCAATCACACTACAAAAACAAAGTTAGCGCATGATGCCTACCACCATAACCGTTACATAACGCTACATTTTGAAACCTCAGTTGCAATACATTTCTGATGTGGGTTCCATTTCATTATACAAAATTGAATCTACACCATCCACTATCATTCTGGATAAATTTCTTGAATTGTTTGTCTATGGTGTTGTTTGGTGAAATTTATTATAAGCTAAAAGTGATAATCAAAAGCAGAAATTAAAAGCATCAATTCCCTAACTTCCAAATAATCAGTTTTTCTCAACTTATTTAAATTATTTTTGCCTAAAGCTGTAACCAGAAGCTGCACCAAATAGTCTAGTACAAATTCCCAAATTAAAATAAGTTATAATCACTCCCTATAATCAACACCAAACACCCCCTACGTCCATAGCTTTTCTAATGACAAATATATCGATTGAACAGGTCTGATTGATCATGGATTGAACGTATTGACTCAAATTCAACTTGTTTGACATAATTTTTTTTCTTTGTTAGAGAGTAAATATTAAATGTAAACGAAAAGTGAAGGATAAATTACACTTTGCACTCCTGTATTTTATACTAAATCTCACTTTGGTCACACATGAAATCATGACAATCATCCTTCTACACTTCTGGTTAAATCTCATTTTGGTCCCTACACATAAAATTGTGACAGTCAACTCCTTACACTTTTACTCAAATTTCACTTTGGTCCCTACGCAAGTGTTAATGCCCCTTTTCCATTATTTTATTTTTAAATCTTTAACAAAATCTAGTCATATAACAAAAATATAACTACGAAATGAA